CCTTAGAATCCATATACATCCCCCACCATCCCAAGACGACAACTAATGATTGGTCACTGACATTATTTTTACATATTCCTGTTTATGATGAAATTGTTTGATGCAAAGAAATATACTAAGTAAAAGCCAYGGGGCGTTCAGTAGACATGATGAYTTACTGAAAGAAATATTATTTTGAAACTGAACATTTTTACTGTTTTATTTATTTCTTCTCAGAATCAAACCTTCTTTATATTTATATATACTCAAGGGAATGACCCGTCATTAAACATGGTGAAATGGATCGGGTCTATTCTAAAATTTTAAGATTATTAACAATTATATTTTTTAACTAGATTTCAGAATTAGAATCCAAGGTAAGAGCTGCTGGCAACAATGAGACTAGAGGCCGTGGACCACCGGGTCCAAAGGGTCCCCCGGGAATTCCTGGTCCCCCTGGACTTCCTGGTCCCCCTGGACTTACTGGTCCCCCGGGACTTCCTGGTCCCCCTGGAGTGGCTGGATCCCCTGGAGTCACAGGCCCTGCTGGTCCTCAAGGAGGTGGTAACTTGACACTGTGTCAGTACAAGATGATTACAAGTTCGGGAGTGAGACCAGGACCAAGAGCAGACTGTGATGTATCAACTTTTGAACAAAACGTAAGAGCTATGATACCGGCGCGCGCAGTCTATCACAGTCTATCAGGAATTAAACCCCTGCGACGAGTTACATAACCTAAAGCAGTGGGGGATGATTGGGGGTGTGTGTTTGGGGAAGCATATGGTTGGGCAACATCTTAGTTCCCTCTCTAAAATGTCCTAGTAAAGAATCTAATTTTTTAATACATAAAGGAAAGGTTAATATTTCATAGAGATCGTGATCTGATGGGGAAAGATCGCGGCTACCAATTAAAGCTCATGCTGCCTACAGTACAAAAGCATTGCGGCGGATCCAATGAAGAATGGAAAGTTCAACATACATTCTCGTGGTCGTGAGAGGTGCTATTTAAGTTTCTACATTTTAATCACAAAGAAAATCCTTGGTAGAATAGGGGGTGGGGTACTAAATGAACCTTCCCTATTCACGGTGGTCACACTAGTATGCATGTATTAGAAGTCATAGACTAGCATAATTAACTAGACTTCAGTTCAAACCTGCAAAGTTCGAACGTTGATCCAGTGTGCACTTCTTATATTCTAGTAATGTCTTGATTCCCTTCCTCACCTGCTCAGTGTTCTTTTTGGCCAGTTTCAAGAGAATATTCTCTTGGCCAGTTTTCATAATTCTCATCTCACCTCTCTTGCGTTGTTCTAGATCTCCCTTCCTCAGTATTTCTCAATCAATAGTGTAGTGGGACTGCAGTAAATCAGGGCCCATCCATGGATGGTGAAGAAGGTGGCTAGCCACCCCCCCCCCCCTCCCCCATTGCTCAAATTTTTAAGAATTATTCTTAGTAAGCCACCCCTCTTTTCCTCACATTCCTGATAGTAAAACCTTCGTAGTAACAGTCATCCCCTACCCTAACTTCTAAAGTTCGTTGATCCGCCTCTGTAAATAGAATATTATGTGGCACACATTCATAAAGACAGTTTTTTTGATGGTTTTGGAGTAAAATTATTTGGTTTGATTCTGTCAACAGGACAAGAAAATTCTAGGAGTCACGTGTTCAACCAACGGCGCTGCTCAGTACGTCCTGACGAGTGCAAGACTGGGCACAATGCGCACCTTCAAGTGTCACTGCAAGGGAAATTCCAGTCTCTTTATTCCAGCTAATCTGGTCCATTGCTACATACATTACTGGGAGTGTCCACTGATTTCCTAGGCTGTAAGATTGCAAGCGGTCTCACTTTTCCTTACGTTCCTTACAGACTCAGTAAAGAAGAGTTTTTTTAGAGAGATTGTAGCGGAGTAGGCGGGGAGAGGGAGAACAGTTCTAATTTTACATCCCATCCTGGGTAACCCAGGGATAAAATTCTGCCACTCGTTTTTTGCTACGAGAACAAATTTTCTGGTAGCGAGAAACAAACGATGTAGTCTTACCCCTGGGTTCCCAAGGAATGCTCCCTTGGCCTACTGGGCTGTAATCTCTCTAAAAACTCGTCTTTACGGAGTCTGAAAGAAAAGTTATACTTTGAGTTTTTTGCGATTCCTTTTCAATAATTTTAAAGAACCTTTCAATGGTCAACAACCAATCTCTCCGAGTCCACAGGAATCCTAAAAACTCGTCTTTACTGAGTCTGTAGGGAAAAGTTGCCCAACTGCTCGCAATCAAAACATGGAAATATAGAGCTGCAAATTACGCACGACTGTACAGGAAAACTATCGACATGTTAAGGACGTCAAGTGCTACAGACGTGAATCCAGCAAGCTGCAAAGTGACTGCTTCAAAGGACGTCGTAAGACTGAGACTGGAGATGAGTCTTTAGTCATAACGGCTGAGCGGTACCCGCATTTACCAAATGATAAAAGACTTTTGTGCCTTGACTCTTCATTTATTAGAAACCTACTCAGATTGACTAAAAGTGTGAAAAGTGTGTG